AGAAAAAATATATTTTTTTTAATACTTTAGACCCCTTAAGTTTATTAATTTAAATACCCCTAGAAAAAAGTTTTACAATAACAAAAACACCCCTAAACCCATACTTGCCAGATTCGGCAATCATGATCGGTGGTAGCCGAAATCTGTACAAACGGTACACACAGACCGGAAACGGCTAGTAATTCACGATCTGGCTGTCGCTAAATGGCCGTCGTTGACAGTTAACGACGGCCAAATCTTGGCCATCGTTGTGAGAACGACAACTATTTTTTAGCTGTCACTGATGGCCAAAGATGGACTTTCGCGTTCGTGACGGACAGATTGGCCGTAGATCTAGCTTTTTTCGGCCAGATTCGTGGTGGATCTGGCCGGAAAAGGGCATATCCATGTCCTACCCTCAGATAGACGGTCTGTATCTTAACGTAATTTTTGGACAGATTCCAATGGTGGTGGCTGGAATCTAGCACTGCGGGTGGTGAAGTGTTTTGTCATTTTACAAAATTTTTATATATGTAGTGTATTTAAATTAGCGAACCTATGGGGTTTTTTTTTATTTTTAAATTTTACTCGTAATACTTCCCTATTCAACTATATAATGTTATTCCAAAAATTCTATCTAAAATAATAAAACAAACGGTCCCAAAATGTAGGAAATAAATATTAGAGAAAATAATTTGAAATAAAATATATATTGAAATTTTATTTTTAAAATGTTTTTATTATTATGGGGCTTAGAAAGATATGAGTGGGGTTTAATAACATCACTCTTACACAAACAATCAAAGAAGAATGAGAAGGATCTGTGTAAGGGAAGAGATTTTTAGCCCGCACTATTTTCTTTAGCCCCATCTTCAGTTTTAAGGAAGGATATAGTTGTAATAAAAAATATTCTTCCTCTTCCATTTTTTTCAATTCAAAGATTTATATTACAGCACTGAAAAATTAAAAGTAAATTTAAATTAATCAAAATTAATAATAAAGCATGAGACATTACACTCATACTCATCTCTTCTTCATAGCCGCGCTGCCCTCTCAAAGACTCAAACTCATCTTCTTCTTCATTACATTTACAGATTTACTCGTCTCTCCTCCAGTCCTCCTCCCGTCTTCTCCTCTCAAACTCACTTGTTTTCTCTATCTTCTTCTTATCACGCGCCATGGTGTAACCTTAGCAGCCGGGGAATTGTTTGGCTTTACAGCAACCTTATGCTCTTTCCACAGGTTGGTACTCCTTCCTCTTGAACCCTTTTTAGCTGATCGAAATGCATTTCGAGCATATATTTAATTTAGAATATAAATTATACAACCCCATTGGAGAGGCTTTGATTTGGGGCCCAAGTTTGAAAGATTGGTGCGTGTAATGCACTAGTTGAAGTAGCATATAGAAAGGAAATGGAGTTGCATTCAAGCTACTGGCTTTGTAATGAACAGAGAAGAGTAATGTTTGTCAGGGGTAGAAGCAAGAGAACGTGCGTATTTGAAGGGCACATAGATCTGGATCCATCAAAACTCCCAACTCCCACACTCTTCTCACGCCACTCCGACCACTCTTTGTTTTTTCTTTTTATAAAATTCAAGAAGAGAGAAGAGAGAGGGGTAATAAAGAGTCTAGGAGGGAGGGAGAGATATCTAGCTTTGACTGCCCACTCTTACTCAGAGCCCAAAATACACAGTAGTGGCAGCTGCAGCAATTGATGGTTCTTCAGCTGTAGTTCTGCCACCATCTGCTACCATCTGCAACTTGGTAGCCTCGACAGGAGGCGGTGGTTTCGCTATTATAGTAAATTAGTATGTATAATTTATATTTGTCTTGCCGTTATTGGTAGTAGGATCATAAAAGTTAAATGGGTTGAGTACAAATTAGTTAATCACTTTAAGATACCGTAAACAAGAATCTATGGAATCATTCTCTTTATTTGAAATATTAAAGCTGATTATATTTTTTATGTGTTTATTTTATTTTTCTGTAGTGACATTTGCTGAAAACAAAATGCATTTTCTATTTAGAAATATTAAAGCTGATTTCATTCTCTTGTAGGTGATAGAGGAGATGTGTTTACAACTTTCATTTGTTATTTCTTAATCACTTTTGTAGTTGACCATTAAAATAAAGAAACAGTTTGTATTTTATGATAACGTAATTGGTGATTATTAGTTATTAGCTTGGATGAGAATTTAGTAGCATTAATTGGTTAAATTGTTGTGGATCTTTTAGTTTCTTGAAATTGTCATCCAAAAATAGGAATTTTTTTTACATAACATAGAAAAAAAAAGACAAAAAAAAATTTATTAATAAACCGGTTTGCAAACCAAAAATTCGGTTCGGTTTGCAAACCGGTTAATGAAAAACCGGACCAGTTTCGGTTTGCCATATGGCTTGAAACGAAAAAACCGGTTCGGTTACAAATGCATGCATCGGTTGGTTAATCGGATTTTTGTAGCCCTAGGGCGGCAGAGCGGGGGGGGGGGGGGGGGGGGGCGCGGCGGTTGTGTTAGGCACTTTTGGGCTTTTTCTTGTATAACTAGAATGATTTCTTTAAGTTATTAAATTTTATTAGGTTTAGGTTTAAGAATATGAATCATTGTAATATTATGTTTTAGTCTTTAAACCTAGTATATAAACACACTTTTCTCTTGTAATGAATGATAGCAATCACAGGGCAAATTACTCATTGAAATGAGAGGGGTGAGACGTAGTGAAATAATATTGACTCTTGGACATAACTTTTTCTTTACTGTTTGTGGTTTGTGTGGTTGTTATTTTGGTTTCGCATAAATCTCTTTTCATTCATCTTAAATCAAATAATCACTTTTAAATCCCATCTGATAGAAGAAAACATGGTTTAATACCCATTAAAACAAACCCGTGTATCAATATTGTTATTATGATGACTTAATTTACTTGTTTTTTTAGAACTGTAAATACAAAGTTGAAGTGAAAAAATGGAGGAAGAATAATAAAATACTATTACAGTTAAACCTCACTCAAATTCAAGTTTGTTAAAGAGAAAAATAGTATGGGCTAAAATCACCCTTGTGTGGGCTGTCTGTCTGCCCCATGTTGGCTTGGACACCAAAAATCAGCTTCAAGTTCAAATCAATTATTTATATGTCTCCTTTATTTAAGAAAAGTAAATATATTTTAAATTAAAATTCAAGTTAGAATACAGAGTTTGTGATGTATAAGGAATCATAATGATTTAATATACGATTTTGAAGATATGAACAAGACTTGCACTAGTTGCCATGGTGACTTGTAGAAAGAGATGAGTCAACTGACTATACTATTATACTGCTAGCGAATGAGGTTTGGGTATAATTTATATGTCTTGGTCTTCTCAATTAGAAGAAGTATGAGAACAGTAGTGTGAGCCCAATTATTAATTAATAAAATAATAATTTCAAATTTTCGACCCTTTCAAATTTAATTATATTATATTGAATAATGTTGAAATATTGGTAACTATTTAAATGAGGAGAGGATGAACATTGAAGTAGTAATCGACTCTTCAAAAATAAGAGTAACATTTCGCAAATATGGTAACAGCAAAAGTTAAAAACTGTAAAATTTAAGTTAAATCCTTTTTCTTTTCATTGATAATTATACATGCTCCTGTTTTCCTCTGTTTTGGTCTATGTTCTTTATTCAATCTCTTTATTTACTAGTCTAATTTTTAAACAAGACATTTGCGTTTCAATGTTGGAGCCAGGGCCATCTCTAGAATATTTGTGACCCTAGGTAGGAGTTACTTTGGGGCCCTCTAATAATATAGCATATATTAAAAAGTTATTTCATTTTTTTTTTTTTTTTTTTTGCCTTTAGATGAAAAAATCACTAGGAGAGGTATATAACAATCGACAGGCTAACAAAGTTAGGTTAGTGGGGGGTTTTGGGGAGTAGATGTTGGAGAAGTGATGGGTGGTGAATAGGTGATTCCAATGCCAAGATTGATAAGAAAAGACTTGAGAAGTCACGGCCCCAAAAGTATCGATGGCCAGCAATTGTCAAAATAAACGGATAAGTGATAGTTTGTGTGAAAGGGTTGAGGGGAGGAAGATGGTGGTGTCGGGGAAGGCCAACAATGTGGGTACATGCCAAAAATGCTGGAAATGGCTGTCGTGTGGTGGAGTTGGGTGCGAGAGATTCATCAAAAATTAGTCAAATCGAGGGTATCAAGGTTGAGAAATGATAAAATGGGATTTCGGTCGATTTTGGTGAGAAAACGACTGGAACCAAATTGACGAAATCAACTCCAAACCACTGGCGGCAAAAGAGGGCTGTGAGATGATTTATGTGAATGTAAATTTTGGGATTGAATTGAGGGGTGAGAATTTGAGATTGTAAATGACTATTTTAGTCTTCCATTGTTAAAAGAGATTCAATGTGTTAATTTAGGGGTAAAACTAGAGTAATAAAATTAGAGGTACAAAGTACTATTTGTTAAATTTTGGGTGGGATATATGTTAAAAGTTTATAATAAATTTGGGTTTTTTGGCTTTTTTTTTGGGGGCATTGGCTTAGAAAAAATTATAAACCCTTTATTTTTGTAAGATATTCAAAAAAATAAAAAATAAAATTTATAAAAAATTTGGGCCCCATTTTTTTGGGGCCGGCACGTGCCATCCCTTAAGCCGGCCCTGGTCGGAGCAACTTGTTTGGAATATTTCTTGCCCTTTGAAAACGATTTTGAACATGATATGTATATAAGACGTACCCTATGCCAGGGCAACTTAGTCAATTAACTACCTTCTTGTTAATAAGAACCCACCAAAAACTGACGAGATAAGAGATTATTCTACTCAAAAGAAACTTTAAATAAAAAAACTTACTGTACATGAAAAGGACTTACACCAACTGCCAGGGCTGTAGAAGAGGCTCAGTCAACTGACCTGTAGAAAGACCACTAAACAGTGAAGAGATAAGAGATTATTCTACTCAGAGGAAACTTCAAACAAAATACAAGTCAACAGTCTCCATCAATCCAAATTAGGGCCCTGTTATGGTCACTGGTCACTCAACTTTTGTCACTGCTAAAGAATACTTGTGCCTCTCGTGTTTCATCATCTTAGCCATAAAAAAGATTATTATCACATCTCAATCTCGTGTAGCAAATGAAAGTCTTGGTAAGTTTATTTATAAGTCTCCGTCCTCTCAGTTTTATAAAAATAGCGAAACTATATACTAATTAATATAAAAAGTTAACAATTTTAATCCCTTTAGGTTTGATGATAAACAAATATTACCCGAGATTTCTGAAATAATAGAAATCCCTTGTGTTATTAGGTGTTATAAAAATACGGTAAGATGGTAATTGATAAAATTCGTAAACTCATAAAACTATAGTTCAAAAATGGGCATACAACAATAGGGAGAGTTTTGTAATTTCAAATCTTTCAGTGTGATTTATGTTATTATATCAGGTCTCAAGGGGCCTGTGTTTAACTCTAGTAAAAGTAATAATGTTCAAGAGTAGTATTAAGACAGATGGGGACACACTGAAGTTGGGTTTTGGAAATAATCATCTCGTTGTTTATTTATAAGTATCAGTCTTGTGTAATTGTACATGTCACCAAGCCCACACTAAAACCAGCAACATTCTAATCTCATGGAGAGAAACCTTTCCCTTTGCTTGTCTTAGTTTTCTTAGTTCCTTTTCAACTCTTTCCTTGTTAATGCGGAAGTAACCAACATTTCCACAGACAAAAAAGCTTTCTTGCTCTGAAAGCTATATAAGCGATGATCCTAGCAGTATATGACCAAAAAATGGTCCACAACTACCTCTGTTTGTAGTGGACTGGCATCGTTGTGCGGGCCGTCACATAGAGTCACGACGTTGAATATTGCTCACTTGGGTCTCACAGGCACCCTTCCTCCTCAACTAGGAAATCTTCTTTCCTTGCAACGCTGGCCATTTGGAACAACAGCTTTTATGGCCTCTCCCCTGAGGAGTTGGCTCACTTACGACGACTGAAACACCTTCTTTTCAATATAATAGATTACTGGTGAACTCCTGAAAGCATTTTGATAATCTTCCCCATTGGAATGCTTTACGCATTATAATATGGCCAGGGCAAATTACCATCACTTTATCAAAATGCAAAAAACTGCAATACTAATCCGTCACCATTATTTCACCGAGCCATTCCGAAACAAATCGGAAATTTGACCCAGCTTAGGTGGATGTATCTTAGCTTAATAAACTCCAAGAGTATAGACATATATGTGTATGTATAGACGAAAGCAATTTGTTTATACTAATTTTTACAAATTTCATTTTAAGAAATTTTCTTAACAGCTCAATTGCTATACAACTTTAATTTCACAAAAAAAGTTGATTAATTTTTCTTTTTTAGTATTTAAGAGTGGATCTAATCATTTGTTAATCACTCATACAATACCTCGTCGATCTCAAGAGAAATGAAACTATATGACATATTTTATTCTTCGATTCTTTTGCAGGATCCATACCAAAAGTATTGGAAACTTAATTCAACTTAAAATTATGTATTGGACTTCCTCTATTGCAATTGGATTGCCATCCGTTGTGGTGCCGTCACCATAGAGTCACATTTCTGATATCTTTCTTTAATTTACAGGCCCCATTCCTCCTCAACTGGGAAATCTTCTTTCCTCACAATTCTAGGCTTCTAGAACAACAGCTTTTATGGGTCTCTTCCTGATGAGTAGTTCAATTACGTGTCTTAAATAACTTGATTTCAGTTACAATAACTTCAATTACAAATCCCAGTATGGGTTTGAATGAAGTCAAATTTCAGGGACTATCCCTCAGTCTTGGAAACTTGTCTTTGTTACAACAACTTTATCTTGATTATAATCAGCTTTTAGGTTCCATTCCACTCCCTCTTCGACATATTCACTGCAGTTACTTACTTTATATCTAAACAACTCTTTGGTTCTTTCGTTCCATCTTTTAACATGCCTTTATTATAGTATGACGTGGTAATAATGGATTATCGGTGGACTCCATGAAACTACTTTGATTATCTTCCTAGTTAGAAAAAACTTTTTTGGATAGAAACATGTTCAGAAGCGAAATACATCCACCTTATCAAAATGCAGAAGCTTGCATCCTTATCCTTGTCGCACACATTTTTCATAGGAGCTATACAAAGAAAATGGAAATTTGACAAGTTAGACTCCAAGGTTTATTTGCAGAAGTTATGGCATGCATACATTTTTTTCTCAATCTCAAATATTAATTCTTTGACCACTATGACTTCTCAAATATTAATTGAATAGAGTTATTTTTTTTTAATTGTTAATAATACCGTTGCTTATATATATTTATATGTTGATTTTGTAAGAGAAATTCCAGGGAATCAGGCACTGCTTATATCTTTTCTAATATTTAGCTCACTGGTACAATTTAAACCGTAATGCCTAGCCTAGCTGCAATTTTTCTCAAGGCACATATATGTGTAAAATTATGAAAGTGCACATTTTTTAAAATTGAACTTTTTTTACTGACTTGGTAATGTTTAAAAACAATTTTTCATAATTTTCCACACAAGAAGTTTGATTAAAATTTATCTATTTATAAATAATGATAACCGGCATAGTAAACATATCACACTAGATATTAGCATTAAAGAAAAAAAATCTAGAATACCACAATAATCTCCAAACTTGATTCAACTAGAGTTCTACACCTTCTCAACAATATCTCCAAAGTATAATATGTATTATCATATATGCTAGTCCAATTATACTTCGATTCATCATTACTAAAGTTATACATGGTTGTATCATCTTGAGTAAATTGGCTTCATCTCTATAGACAAAACGATTACTATATTAACTCTCATTGTTGATATAAATCAAACCGTTGAAGATTTATTGATATTTAAAGTGTAATCTAATTCTTAATTGTGACTACTCTCTTCTCTCTCTCTCTCTCTCTTGTGTGTATTTAATCTTCTTGTTAATATGAGGTTGTAACTGCATTAATTCACAGGAGCCATACCAAAGAAATCGGAAACTTGACCTGCTTGAGTAAGAATTTCGAGCAATAATCTCCAAGGTATGACTCATGCAATTTTTATAAAAAATATAATTAATTATAAAATAAATTATATATACAGATACTGGTTACAATATATATATTGAATTAATTGTCAAATATAGTTTACCACTACAATAAAGATATAATAACGAAATGACAGAAAACATTTGATCCCAACAACTAATGTGGCTTAACATTATAATAAAGAAACTGCAATGCTGAAAATAGATTAAATGAATGAATTGTAGAAGTCCATTATGAGTGAATCTTCTCTTTGTTGTACTCTATCCCTCTTTTCAATTATTTCACAGGTGTTATTCCCAAAGAAATCGGAAATTTGACCCAGCTTAAGTGGATGTATCTTGACAGCAATAAACTCCAAGGTATATATATTTATATATATTTGTGTGTATAGATAAAAGCAATCTGTTTTATACAATTTTTTTTTTTTTTTTTAATTTCGTTTTAAGAAATTTTCTAAATATCAATTGCTTGTTTATATTGATTTTGTAAGAGAGATTCCGAAAGAGCTGAATCTTACAATACTGGAGATATTATCACTCACAAATAATTCCTTAATGGGAACTATTCCTTCACTATCTTCAACATTTCTTCTTACTTTTCAAATAATAGCTAAGCAGTAGCCTCAGAAAATATGTGTCAACACTTCCTAATCTTGAAATGTTGTGATGTCTATAATCAAATCACCGGTCCAATTCACACAGTTTGGGGCAATGTAGAATGCTTCGTTTTGTGTAGTTTTATGGTAACAATTCGGAGAGCATATTCCAAGAGTAATTGGAAACTTAACATTAATCGAGTTCCTAAGTCTTGCCGAGAACAAATTGATAGGTACACTTACTTTTGGTTTAAATGATAATCCTCCCAATTTGGAAGTGCTTGCCTTGCATGTTATATGCTCCAGGGCACAATACCATCCACTTTATCAAAATGCAAAAAATTGCATACTTATCCCTGTCTTTCAATTATTTCACAGGTGCCATTCCCAAAGAAATCGGAAATTTGACCCAGCTTAAGTGGATGTTTCTGTCAGCAATAAACTCCAAGGTATTATATTTTATATATATGTGTGTATAGATAAAAGCAATCTTGTTTATACAATTTTTTTTTTTTTTTTTAATTTCGTTTTAAGAAATTTTCTAAATAGCTCAATTGCTTGTTATATGATTTTGTAAGAGAGATTCCGACAGAGCGGCAATCTAACAATACTGGAGATATTATCACTCACAAATAATTCCTTAATGGGAACTATTCCTTCACTTATCTTAACCTTTCTTCTTAATTTCAGGACTTTTCAAATAATAGCCTAAGCGGTAGCCTTCCAGAAAACATGTGTCAACATCTTCCTAATCTTGAAATGTTGTGCATGTCTCATAATCAACTCACTGGTCCAATTCCACAGAGTTTGGGGCAATGTAGAATGCTTCGTTTTGTGTAGTTTACGTAACCAATTCGGAGAGCATATTCCAAAAGAATTGGAAACTTAACATTAATCGAGTTCCTAAGTCTTGCCGAGAAAAAATTGATAGGTACACCTTACTTTCGGTTTACATAGATTATCGGATGGACTACTCCTGAAAACATTTTGATAATCTTCCAATCCTCCCATCCTCATTATCAAATTGTAAAAATTGCAAGGCTTTTCCTTGTCTTTCAATGTATAGGACCATTCCAAAGAAATTGGAAACTTGATCAGCTTAAAGAGATTTATCTTGGATACAATAACCTCCAAGGTATTTTATATGAAACTTTGTTTATAATGTTTTTACAAATTTTCCTTTAGAAATTTTGAACAATACAATGCTATTTATATTGATTTTGTCGGAGAAATTCCGAAAGAATGGAAAGTTAACATTAATCAAGTACCTATTTATTGACAACAACAAATTGATAAGTACAAGATAAACTCTTTCAATTTTTTTTTTTTTTATAATAGAATAATTCATTTTGTCGTAATCCAATTCAGTAATTGAACTATTCCTTCACTATTTCAACATTTCTTCTTTAATTCACAAGAATTTGTGGATAATAGCCTTCTGAGCAAAAGGTGTCAACATTGCCTATTGAAGGCATATATGTATATATCTCTCCTAACAGCTCACAAATCCAATTCCATATAGTTTTGAACATAAAAAGATATTCCAGAGAATTGGGAACTTGACATTAACGATGAATTCATCGTCTGAACAAATTTATGTTATTATTTAAGATCTCTTCTTGTTGTAAACTAATTCACTAATTGAACTCTTATTTCAGGTGAGATACCATATGAAATTGGTAATCTTCGTAAACTTGAGATTTTAAATCTTGACTCTAACAACCTTGTAGGTCCTGTCCCAGCTGCTATTTTCAACATATCAACAATAACAAGCCTTTCACTCATGTCCAATAAGCTTTCGGGAATTCTCCATCATCCGCAGAGTTCCAAATCTTGAGGAGCTTTACTTGGGATTTAATAATTTCACTGGGCCATTTCCTGGTTTCATTACCAATGCTTCCAAGCTCTCTATATAGTCTTGTATCCAACTCATTCTCAGGCTTCATCCCAGAAACAATTGGTAACTTAAAAAATCTTGAGCGGCTTTATTATCTTTTAATTACTTGACATCTTCTACTCCAGATTTGAGGTTAATTCTCGTTTGACAAATTGCCAGAATTTAAGGCAGCTACATTTAGAAGGAAATCCTCTGAATAGCATCCTTCCAAGTTCCAGGCAATCTTTCTGTTTCTTTGGAAAGTTTATACATGGGTGAATGCAAAATTAGTGGAAACATTCCAAAGAAATTGAAAACTTAAGCAATTGATAGAAATAGACTATATGACAATGAACGACGGATCAGTTCAGTTGCACTTGGTGGACTACAGAAACTCCAAGGTTTGAATCTTGAACATAAAAATTGGAAGGATTGATCCCAAGTAGTCTTTGTCAATTGAATGAATTGTTGAGTTGCAATTGGTGATAACAAGATTATGGATCCATACCGCATGCTTAGGTAATATCACTACACTTAGAAAATTGTCGTAGTGTTTAACAAATAATTCTTTATACCCCAACTTTGTGGAACCTTAAGGATATCTGTACTGAATTTGTCATCAAATTCTTTGAAGGATCTCTTCCTGGAGATTGGAAATCTTAAGGTTGCGATAAACATAGATTTGTCAAGGAATATTCTTTCAGGAAATATTCCAATTGTTTATGGCAGCCTAGAAAATCTACAGAACCTTTCCTTAGATTCAATAGATTACAAGGCCAATTCCTGAACATTTGGTCACTTGAAACTTGGAATTTTTGGATTTGTCAAGTAACAATCTTTCTGGATTGATTCCCAAGTTTAGAGGCACTCTTTTACCTCAAATATCTAAATTTATCTTTCAACCAACTAAGCGGTGAATTCCTAAAGGAGGACGCTTTGGAAATTCTCAATTGAACATTTATGGGGAACCTTGCATATGTGGTTCTTCTCGACTGCATGTTCACTATGCAAAACCAGAACACATGGAAAGTCAATTCAAGAAAAGTTATGTTGTTCATTGCTTTACCACTAAGCATTCATTCACATTGGTTTCTTTGTTTTATTGTGTTTTGATGAAATGCCGAAAAAAAAAGAGAACAAGGCCACCTACACATGTTGAGATGTATCCACAACGTACATGGAGAAGAATTTCTACACGAACTTGTGAGAGCAACAACATGGATTTAGTGAGAACAACTGCTTGGAGAGGAAATTATGGTTCAGTTTTCAGAGGAAGATTACATGATGGGATGGAGCTTGCAGTAAAGGTATTCCACTTGCATTTTGGAGAAGCGCTTACAAGTTTTGAAGTTGAATGTGCAATATGAGTAATATTCGTCATCGAAATCTTGTTAAAATCATTAGCACTGTTCAAATGATGATTTTAAATCTTTGTACTAGAGTACATGTCTAACGGAGCCTTGAGGGTGCTTGCATTCTGACAAAAACGTTTTGGACATTTCACAGAGGTTGAACATAATGATTGATGTTGCATCAGCTTTGGAATATCTCCATTTTGGTTATTTAGTCCCCATTATTCATTGTGACTTAAAGCCTAGCAACGTTTTGCTAGACGAAAATATGGTTGCACATTTGAGTGATTTGGTATTGCAAAGCTCTTAGGTGAAGAAGGCTCTAGACACAAACACAGACCCTTGCCCACCATTGGTTATATGGCTCAGGTAACTGTTTCTAGTTCAGTATGTTTTATTTTTTATTTTCCATTAAATTTTCTTTGTTTCCTAAACTATGAAAGTGCATGTGATCTCTATTAGAATATGGAAGAGAGGAAAAATATCTAGACAAGGGGATGTTTACAGCTATGGTATTATGCTAATGGAAACCTTTACAAGGAAGAAACCAACAGACGAATATTTATTGAAGGAATGAGCTTAAGGAGCTGTTGGTGAATCATCATGTAGAACAATAATGGAAGTTGTGGACACAAATTTGCTAAGAAGGGATGAACATTTTCTTAGAAAGAGGAATGTGTATCATCTATCTTGAGTTTGGCTATAGGTGCACAAGAGAATCAACTCTGGAGAGGATCAACATAAAAGAAGCAATAACAAGACTATTGAAAATTAGAGTCGAATTTGCGAAATTGGAACCAAAAGAGGCAGAAGAATTTGAAATTTAGGTTAATTTCTTCTCATTTCATTAAGTTTTAAATACAGGTGATAACTTTCTTTGCCTTGTTAGTTATTTAACTATTGCCTGATTGCTTTTGATTGCAGAGAGAAAGTAAGTGAGATTGCTACCAAACAGCCTGAATAGAAATAATGGTCTGAGTTTCAGAGACAATTACGTGTGAAGATAAAGAACCCTTCTTTCATAGAAGTTTTAGACAGTTCATATTTTAATTTGTTAAAACGTTGGTGTAGTAAACATAAACTTGGGGGACTGTAAATTTTTCCCATATTTAATAGAGATGAACCATAACTGTTTATTTTTATTTTTCGCTAATATTTATATTTAACTTGTATTTTAATAAAGTTGAAACCAATTTTAGTTATCATACTCAAGAATTCAAAAACTTTAACTAATTTGAATCCGATTCATCATATTTAATGAAATTTTTAATTTATTTGAGATACATTTTAACAAAGAGAAAAGCTTTACATTGATATAGAAGCAAGGCATTCTAAATCTTAGAATCTCATTTTCTCGTACAAGAAAAACATTTTGCATGTTTAACTTTTTTATTCTTCGTCTGAACCATGTGGTGCCTCTGAACACTTTTGATATATAGGCATCGAATTGACAGAGTTACCAAGTGGCTTTGCTTGTTTGACCTCAGATCTCTGACATGGTGGCCATTCTCCTGAGGAAGCGTTGACCAATATCACAATTTGAATTATTTTGTAAAGACCAATCCAGGCATTGCATCTGCATGATGCAAATCCAGCTTACTTAAAGGATTCTTGTGCTCACCGTAGCCACTAACTCATTAGAATTGCGATCTTCTGATTCCAAATGATCATCACAGGCCAGAGCCTCCTGCACACAGGGCAAATTTTGCTCTTGTACCAGTCCTGGAGTAGATGGTGCTTAGCATACTCAACAGATTCCGCATGGACACCCGAGTCTTTCAAGTGGTCGCAATGGAAAGAGGTAGTAACTATGAGACCAAGTCTAGAACACAAATCATCCTCACAATATTCAAATAAGCAAGATACTAAATAACAAATACAAGAAACAACCTAAGACATAATATTATGGAAATATAAAATTAACCTGATTTGCATTTCATTCATTGTTGCGGAGTCTGATGTTCATTTATCTGCTCAGTAATATTATTTGTTCCCAAGGTGTCAATGGTTTGACAGATCCCTGAGGATCAGCACTGTAGGATAAAAGTTACATCAGAATTGTTCCATATAATTTTATAGATAAATCAGCATCCCACAATACTGACAGCCAATTAAGTAACGGCCTCTCTATCATGAGAAAAATTATATCATTGACGAAAAAATGAAAAGGATAAACCATTAAACTTCCACTCAAATCGGAAAGAACAAGCACATTTAAAATATTGGCAACCCGAAGGCTCAACTGCAAAACTATGATCTCTCATTATATTAAATAGATCATATGAGAAGAACATTTAATACTTGGGATTAATGGTGTACAAACAACATAACATTTTAAAAAAGTCTCCTATGCGAAAAAGGTGTTTCTTATGCAGATGATAATTACAGAATTAGGCTCTAAGTTTCGTAAAATAACAACGAAATTGAAAACTAGAACATTTTGGAACTAAGCCCTGAAAAATATCATTATCCGGCAACTAAATCATCAAGATCAAAAGTCTCTGGCAAGGTGATAGAGTGATATGGCGCAGTCGTCTTCTGGCGGCAAATCAACTGCAGTTGAGCAAAAAGCTTGCTTTATCTTAAGCAAAGCCTCACTGCAATCATCGAAAAGGTTTCACCTTTCAAGATATATCCTCACCACACCAAGCAAAGATGGCTGGACAATCTAGTGCAATTGGTACTTCAGGAAAAAGAATTGAGTCTGCTCAAAATGAACAAAAACATTTATACATTAGATAACTAAGAAAAACAGTTGTTAGCAGATACAGGGATAGAGAAGCAGAATTTAGATTTGGCATAAAATGACAGACATGGAATTATTGCTTATTTTCTTTCTGTGATAAACATTCCTTACAATGTAATAAACGAAAATTAATGAAAGATCAACCTCTCAGGCTCTCTAAATATCCATCCAATCTTTTATATCTTTAGAGATAAATATACACACATTAATATCTTCATAATGTACCAAGTATTAATATCCAGATAGATCACGTTTTTATTCTTTGATTTGACTGTCATGGCAATCAGAATAAAATATGTGTGTAACATTATAGAAATAAAGGAAAACAACAAATCTTATGATCTAAGAGCAATGGTGATGTGAGAAAAGGAATGTAAATGCTGAGCAAGGTTGAGGTTACAGAACAACAAAGATCTTGGAGTTTAAACCAAAAACAGCATAGCAAAATTGTTGATAACGTCAATAGAATTCAACACTGTGCCTGTTAAATGATTTTGTCACATAAAATTCATTCTATAACTACTTCCAAAAATTCAAAACTTAATATCTCGTTTCTTTAATGTATAATAATGACAGTAAAATACTTAATAAGCCTAATATTAGCTCTAAAAACAGGGGAGCCTATTACAAATTCACAACAGACAATTTCAAGTCTGTCCTTCCATGATATTATAAAGTGCGAAATTACATATACCAAAAAGATCTCCAATAGCTGAAGAAAAATTAAAAAAAAAAAAAAAAAAATACTAAATTAATACAATAATATGCATCTATGACTTAAGCTTCAGCAAGGGCAACACACTAATTAAGTAAGTCAACCATGAGTTATTGTTTTCTTCATTTTGTTTCCGCATATTCTGCAA